TGCCAACTCCAGAGTGACTGATGTACAGGTTGGTACTGCCCAATAGAAGACACTCCTGCCCTGGGCAGTGGTCATCTCTGTTTAAAATAGAATCCTTCTGAGATGGAAAGGACTTGAGCTTTCCAATCTCAAGTAAACCATCTGCTGACATGGGTGTCCTGCTTTAGCGGATGCTGTGGAAAACCTTGAAACTATTAGGAAGAGCATCCACACTTGCCATTATTGTAATGGTGGGTGTTCCTTAGCTCCCACATGACCCCTGCTTGACCACACCACTGAGTTTCAGAAGGCAACACTAGACAACTGGGACCATGATGGGCCCCCAGGCTTCTAGGCTGGTCACTTGAAGACCCCAGAGAGGCACAGCTAAGCTATGTAAATCACTTATCTTATTTCCCTTATCTCCCCACGAGGATGTAAGTCTCTCAAGGGAGAAGGATTTTATCTGTTTTGCTAATGCATGTCCAGCACCTAGGATAGTGCCCGGCACATAGAACTTCCCCAAGAACAGCGGCCAGGTGAATGCACAGATGAGTCAGTGCATCTCTGTTTTCACCAGGATTTGCAGCGGACCCAGCCGCCTAGCTCGGAGAGTGACTTGGCAACAACAGCCCTGATTGTTGTCAACTTCTACTGTGTCTTAGAATTTGAATGTGAGAAATGACAACATGACTAAATCTTCCTATTCTTGGCTTGATTTTCTTCTGGATTTTCCAACCGCCTGCTCTCCACCCACAACACAGAGAAATAAAGAATGGGGTTCCTTATGTCTTAACAGGCCCGTCAGCTTAAATCAGACATACATTTATTTTCCTTTCCTTCACCGAGCTGTTAATCTGGGTGTTTCACTTAATTGTTCCGTTTCAAGGAGGGCAGAAGTGATTTTCTGCACACGCAGTCCATGGTCCATGGATTCAGATACTTTGTAGGGAAAGTGGGGACATTTGTAATAGTATCAACAATAAAAAATAAAGTTAAAATATAAGATACTTTGAGAGCCCTGGAAATCTTTTCTTTTATTTTCCCCCTTCTTTCCTTCCTTCCATTTAAAAAACATTATCTGTTAAAATTTTAGTTCATTCAATAACAATTTATTGAGCCCCATAGAGTGGCTGGCACTATGCTAGGCATTAAGAGATATAAAAATAAATAAAAGACACTAATGACCCTGAAGCAGCACACAGTCTATCAGACAAACAACAATTGCATGACAATGTGATTGACTGTGTTGGAATAGGCTGGCACAGAACAAGGAATCGGAAGGTCTGCCGGGGAGTCAGAAAATGCCTCACGGAGCAGGCAGCACTCAGGTGCAGTGCTGAATCGCGAGTGGAAATGGCAAATGCAGGAGGGAGCGAAGTATTCTCTGGCAGAGGGCAGAGGGCACAGAAAGGTACCGTGCAGTAGACATCAGTGAGGGGTGCCTGCTGAGTGGGGACACACAGGAGCATCGGGCATGCATGCCTGGTAGAGAGACACTTATTGGCCACTTGACACTTTGTTAAAATGTAGCTTTTTGTGGGGACAGAAACTATGGCATTTACCAAATTCTCAAAGGGGTCTGGGCCAAAAAGGGTTAAAGTCCACTGCATTTCAATAAATAGTTTATATATGCCCATGATACTCAGGACTTGAACTGAATTAAAGAGAGTTTTGGTTCAGGATGGAAAATAAGTTTGATGGCATGATTTTGTTCTCATTTGATCACTTTTCGGAAAAGAATTCAAGTTCCACCAGTGTTTGGGGCACAAGAGAAAGAGAAGGAGTGAGAGAGGAGAGAGACATTGGTTGGATTCATGATTTGATTAGAAATATTTCATATATTTCTATTCTGTTCAGATCAAATCTTCACAAAAGAACAGTTCACATTAAAAGTATATTTACTCATATAACAAAGGTGGAGAATTGAAATAATCATCTATATGGCTTAAAATGATTACCTTTTCTTTCTGAATGAGATATCTATTCCAGGAATTCTTAAATCACCATCCCTGCTGACCCTCCTGCCCATCACCACGGATGCCTACTTGCTCTGGTTTTGTTTCATATTTTTAACTTGATCCAAGTTTCTCACTTGACCATTACACACATAGTTGAGCATTTCTCCATAATAGCCTTCTCTGTGTAAAAGAGCTTTCATAGAAGGTTATACACTTAATAGAATCAGACTACAGCATAAAATCTGCCAATTCTTTTGTTCATTAGAGGACACTTTCCATAAAGTGAAAAAACAATGATGGAATGAGAAAAAAATAATTATAAATCAATTACTTATCAAATAAGGGCCCAGTAGCCTGAATATATAAAGAACTCCAACAACTCAACAATAAAAAGACAAATAACACAATTTAAAAATGGGAAAAGGATCTGAATGGACATTTCTCCAAAGCAGATTCACAAATGGTCCGTAAGTACAAGAAAAGATGCTCAAAATCATTGGGGAAAGAAAATCAAAACCACAATAAGATACCACTTCACACTCAGAGGATGACTAGAATTAAGAAAACATTAAAACAGAAAAATAGCAAGCATTGGCAGATGCGGAGAAATTGGAGCCTCTGCATGTTACTGTTGGAAATTGTAAAATGGTGGAGCCACAGGGGAGACAGTTCTCAGGAAGTTACAGTTACCATAGAACCCAGAAATCCTGCTCTCAGATATGTACTCAAAAGAACTCAGACTAGGTGCTCACAAAAAAAAAAAACTTGTACACAAATGTTCACAATAGTATTATTTATAAAAGCCAAGAAGTAGAAACCCAAGTGTCCATCAAATGATATAAAGTTAAACAAAATGTGGCATGTCCTTATAATAGAATATTATTCAGCGATAAACAATAAAGAAGCGCTGAACCACAAGGGCGAACTTGAAAGAAATCAGACACCAAAGTCCACGTATTATACGACTCCATTTATATGAAAAGTCTACAGCAGACAAATCCACAGAGACAAAAAGTAGGTGAGCAGTTACCAGCAGGTGGGGAGAAAAGGGAACTGCGAAATATGGGGTTTCTTTTTGGGATGATGGAAATGTTCTGGAATTACATAGTGGTGATCATTGCACAACACTGTGGATACACTAAATGCCACAGAATTGTACGTTTTAAAATAGATAAAATGGTGAATGATAGATTATATGAATTTTATCTCAGTAAAAACTGCAACCCGCCCCCCCCCCCAAAAAAAAAAGAAAAACCCTGCCAATTGTCTTTAGCCCTACCCTGGATATAGATAATCACAGACTCTACAAATTTTTTAAATAGATTTTTCCTCTTGTCTTTGCAAAAGTGAAATTACTTTCACATTGAATAAAAATTCCTCATCCTTTTAGAGACTACAATATTTATTGTAACCCTGTTAAAAACTCAGGCACATTAAAAACCTCACTTAGTCAATGACTAAAGAAGTAGAGAAAGAAAATACCAGCATGCATTTGCTTAGTGAATACCTTTCCACAGTTTGGGACAAATCAAACACCAAGGCATTCTGTTAAAAGCCTCTTCCAATGTCATTATCAGAGTATTCTCAAAGTTAAAACTTTGGAAGTAAAGGGAGAGAATACAGACTAGGAATCCACATCCCAGCTTCTCTTCTTGCCTCTTTTCTTACAGAAGGGAAAGCTAAACTTTGGTCCTTGAGACACTTTGAATTCTTTTGAATGTCACGCTTTTTGGGGGCTGAAATTATTCACGTTCCCATTGCCTGCATTTCCGTAACAGCAAGTACCATCAACTTCCTCCCGCACAATGATCATACCACATCCCCAAGGCAGCTTCCTCTATTTCTCCATATAATGCAGCATGGAGAGGGGGCGCTTAATTTTTTTTTCTCTGAGAGACTAGCAACAGTGTTAAATAACTAACAAAAAAATGCCCCGGTCCCACTAAGATTGATAACCATGAGGTGATGAAAAAAGAATTCTTTTTTTCCAAGTAGTTCTGTTTGGCCTCTGTCTACATCCTCCTCTCTCTGCTAAACTCTTCCACGACTCGGTTCCTGAACCACAATTTGTGGGGTCTAGTGTAAAATATATATGCGCAGCCCCGTGTTCAGAAATTATTCACAATTTCAAGAAGGCAACAGCAGAGCCATACACCTAGTGGCTGCACCCCTCACAGCCGCAGGACGCTCCGGCCCCTTCCTGTGGTCAGAGAACAGTCACTCCCCTTCTCCACCTGGAACAGGAGGCTAATCGCCGTCCCCCCCCCCCCATCTTTCTCTTTCTGCCAGCATTATTTTTTAAAGTCTCAAGCCTGAACACTGTTGTTGAACACATTTTACATTTTTCTGTGGGGCAGGGAACACTGCGGATTTCCACTGGACGTGAGCGGCAGGAAAGCCATTTGGCGGATTAAGTGGGGGTCCTTCAAAGATTAAGGGAGGAGGGGCTGCTCTTCCACTCATCTCCGACCTGACACACTTTGCCTCGCTGTGTGTTTTTATTAGCCTGCATCCTCCGTGCGTCCGTGGCAAGGGTGATGAAACCGGTGGCAGATTTAACTGCCAGGCAGCTGGGTCACTGTCCCGTGGGTCTTGTTGTCATGCTGCGATCTTAAAGTGACCACGGCTGTCTGGGCGGCTGCTCTCCAAAAGGCTCCGAGAGAGACCACGGAATAGTTAATCGGTGGAAAAGAGGAGAAAGAGGCTGTTGCTTGCAGAAAGCACAGAGCCGCTGCTTTGAGAAATCCCAAGGTGGCTGAATATCAAGAACACGGTTCCTGCTGCGGGCAGCTGTGTGTGCCAAGGGCAGCCTGAGGGCTTAAAATCAAATCTCCAGCTCAGGCTGCTGCCCCCCTCCCCCCGGGCTTTGGCACTGAAGGCTGAGGCCGGAAGACTGTAAAATGAAGAAACCCTCCTCCATGCGCTCCATGTAAATGATGAGGGTTATCATTTACAGTTACCTTTTTCATTGTTAGCGATCTCAGTGAATCATGTGTTCAGAGAGAGAGAGAGAGAAAATAGGATGACTTACTTCCCAGGAAAGATCTGCAGGTCCCTTACCTGGAACCTCCTCATGTCCCGTGGGTTTCCTGCTGTTTTCAAACAATTTTGATTGCACTTGAGGAAAAATTTTAAAAAGAATCTGTGAAAAGAAAGCAATGTGTTACATTTTTTTCAGTAAATGTTTTTTAGGAGAGACTATCCCTGCATTCTATTAGGTTTGATTGGAAACTGATTGTATTTCAGGCCTGGGGAATTTCAGCAGGCCCTGCCCCTGCAGGAACATGGCTGACCCTCAGCAATTCGAAAATGTAGATGTTTTCCGTCGCCAGTCAGCTCCACTGTGAAGGATTGTGAAGTGATTCACAAGCTGGGTTCTGGTTTGCACGCCTACCCCCAAGTTACTAGGGCTCTCCCTGCCCTCCGCCCCCAAGTCTTTAAAAGCAGCAGCGACTCCTGCCGCGCAAAAATGTCTTGCTCCAGGGTGAAAAATTGCCTGGCTTAGCCCAGAATCCCAGGGTTCCTCATGTACGTGGCTTTCTGCTGGCCACACACGCCTTCCTGCTCCACACCTCACACATACACCCCCACACACAAAGGAGGCCTAGTATTTTCAACCAATGTGTATAAAAATCAGAAAATGTTCTGTTACCATCCAATCACGGAGTCAGTCTGTGCTGGATGTATTCTGGGCTTTTTATGATTAATAACAAGTGTGAATGTCCTTTCAGACCTTGTACAGAATATCCAGAAAATATAAAGGCACGGGATAATGGTCTGAGGTCATCATTCATAACAAATGTTTTTTGAGCCAATATTCTGCTAAATGAAGTATCTGAGCAATGTAAAGGCATCTTTAATTGGACAAGTACATCCACCAAGAAAAAGGGCAGAAGTGGCCTTTTCAGCCATTTACATATTTAATGTTTGGAATTTTGTTTCAAAAACACAATAAGTTTTTCATTTATTTTACTTGCAGAGTCCTTTTCCTTAAAAAAAAAATCCAGCTTTTGCAGTGCTAAAGTCCCAGGTGAGCTGGGCCTATTTCCCTTTCTGTTACTATGACAACGAAATTTTACCGCAGTCCCAAAGTCCCTTCAGAACTCTCACATCCATGCCTTGAATTAGAACTTTAAAGGAAAAGATATACATTTTCCCCAGGATTTACCAACAAAACTAAGTCAAAATCAACAATGCTTCCAAAAATCTATTTTAAAGCAATGGTCGTTGAAGTGCTCTCCTGCTGACCTTCTACTTATTTTTAATTTTTCAAAAATCACACACAAGAATCAGAGTGTTCCAACTGATGGTATTTCACACTTTAAAAAAACCTGATGGAAAGATAAAGAGTAAATGATAAAGGAGAGAAGGGGACCTGCACGCTTCGGAGCATTTTTTTTTTTCCTATTTGAGTCTCTTTTCCTCCAGATTTGCTAAGAATATTTAGCCAAGTGTTCCTGACCCCTATCTAATGAATAAGGTTGGGTGTGAATTTAGAAATAACAGTTAAGTATTTTTTCATTATTTTGCAACATCTGCTTTTCACATCTCTTTCACCCTTCTGTGGGGCAGGCGGGGTCCACGGGCCCACCGAGTGCCAGGGCAGGGGCCACCGGGCCACCAGCCCACCGCCTGTGCAGCAGCCCAAGTGCCGTGGACGTCTGCCCATGGCCACTGGAGCACGCTAGCACGGCAGCTGCTTTTACTTAAGAAAAGATGGATCAGAAGTCAAACATTTCATTTGTTTCTTTTTTTTAAAGGGGAAATGGCAGTCATCTACAGGTACCAGCCATGAGTAGAGATGCTCTCATGATAGACTTAAGATTTGCTTTTTTCCCTGGTGAGTCTGTCTCCAAACAATAGTCCCCACCCTCACACCACATTTGCTCCCCAACACTTCCATCAGTGATTTACCCTTCCCCTCCCATAGCACTGACCGCCGCCTCACTAAAATCCCTACTACGAACCCCGCTAAAATCAAATCCAATGATCTTCCTCACTAACTCCTTGATTTGGGGAAAGTTTTCCCACAACCGAGCTCCTTATAACTCAATTTCCTCTAGCCTACCCCACCCTTCCTCCAGAACGTATCTGGTGAAAACATTAATGTTGACGAAGGCATTAGTATAGGCTTGGTGTGGTGGGTGAAAAAGTGCAAAGGAGATAAATGTTTACATAAAATCAGAGTGATTTAAGGAAACAAGGGGCCTGCTGAAAGGCTTTATTCATTTTTAAATGAGGACCCTTAACAGTTCTTAGGACAGAAAACACTGCTTGCTGGCCTGGGGTCTCACAGCCCCGTTCACAAAGGCTAAGAGAGTGATTCTCTTTTAGCATATAGTACTTTCTAAGAAAGGCATAGCAATTGCTATTTCTAGATGTCCAGAAATTATGGCCTGATACCTTGTATGTAGACCTAAAATGATTCTAAAGGAATTCTGGGGCTTACAGACACCTCCAATTTTTTTTTTCTCTTTATGGATGTCTTCCACCTTCCCCCACCCCCACCCCGCACCCTTCTACACATCATGCTCAGGGCCCCTGCGCAGAACCCTTCCCTATCCCACCAGCCATTAACCCCAGGGTAACTTTCAGGGAAGAAAATCCCTTGTGTCCAGATCCCCGCGAAGCCAGAGCTGCCTGGAAAATGTCAGCTCTCCCTACTCAGAAATGGGAAACTGAAGTGAATTACAAGATTCAGACCAAATGTGCAGATTCTCATCGGGATGGAAGTTGTTATTTTCACTTTCTCCAAACAATGTTGACTACATAAATATTATCGTCACTTAGCGTGGTACACTTTGCAGGGCCTCTGATCTCATTCTTTAAGAGTAAACACTAACAGTGACATGTTTGTCCTCGTTTTATAGTTAAAGGGGAACAGAAAGGTGGAGTCCAAATGTGAACTCAAGTGAACTGTAATTGAAAAGTAAAATTTTTAAAAAGTAATAAAAAAAACTGAACTCAGATCTCAACTGAGGCAAGAGAATGTACCAAAGGGCATTCCTTCACTCCACAAATATTTATTAAATGCTGACGCTGGGCTAGCCTTGATCTGCTACCAACTAACTTTGTAATCAAGTTACCTCACTTCTCTGGGCCTTGGTTTTTTCAACTGTTAAGAAGGTTTAACTGGATTATCCCTAGGATTCCTTCCAACATTAATATTCTATGATTGCTAAGAAAAATACGTAGAGTTGAGAACCCTCCAGAAATGGCCACTTTGGGGGAAGAAACCACTGAAAACAAAAAGATCACGACTTACTGAAGCCCAAGTGGAGGTGGGTGCAGGGTTTTCTGAGGGAGAAGCCAAACCCACTGATCTGAGACTTACAGAAAAACAAGCAGGGCTGGCTGGTGGGTCGAAAATGCGGCATCTTGGCTGGGGGCTTGGCCAGAGCTGCAGTAGCGTGAGGCAAACGGGCAGGTGGTTGAGCAAGAGCACCTTTCCTGTAGCATCCTTTCCCCACGCTTCCAAGGCGGGAGGGTCACAGAGGTCACAGAGGGCAGGGTCACAGAGGGCAGGGGATGAAGGTTAGCCAATCACCACCTCTGTGCCATGCTCCCAGCTATGTTTCTGACATACATTGCCTCATTTATTTCTCACAACTTTATGAGTGACAGATCACCTCACAGCTAGAAAAGGCAAATCACCAAGAATTTATACATTTGCCCAAGGTCACACAGCTTGTAAGTGACAGAAACAAGAATTTAAACCTGGGCCTTTCTGGCAGCAAGTTCCATCCGGCGTTCTATGTTTCCTGCATCAACTAGAGTGTGGTGATGGTTGCAGAACTCTGTGACTGCACTAGAAACCAACTGTGCGCTTGGAATGGATGAACCCTATGGTATGTAAATAATATTTCAGTATAGCTGTTTAAAAAGCAACTTCAGGAAGCACGGTCTGAAAAAAGCAACAACAACAACAAAACCATAAAGGATTCTGGCTTCTTGGAGAGTAAGGGGACTCTGGCACCCCAGGTGGGAAACATTAGGTCAAAGACAGTGCCATAAAATTAAATGCCACTATTGAAAACCCTGGTGAGTTCATTCATTCATTTATTTATTGGATCAGTTATTAAGTGTGCAATATGTGCTACGAATTTTCGGTCATGATAGCCAACAAGATGGGAAAATCCTTGTCTTCATGGAGCACACAACCAAACTATCCAAAATGTGCTTCTTTGGATTCTGAGATGAGTCCGGAGATCTCTGAATATGGGTCTATGCACAAGCCCAGGGGCTCACCTGGTACCCAGGAAACCTCCTTCCTCCCGAATCTCTGGAATATGGGGACACTTGCACTATTTGAGAATAAAAGGAAAGCGCCTAGGTGGCTCAAGGCGTGTGCTGAGCCATCCCGACTAGAAACTGAGATGCACACTAGATGTACAAACAGGATGAAGAGTTAAGGTCTGGAGGTGGGGCAGTGAGGAGTCTCTAAATCACAGGAAGGGTAACTACTTAATATTCACACCAGATTCCAGGAATATAACCAATGATCTGACCAGTACAAAGCCCAGCATCGTATTTCTCCAGATGTGTGGAAGAATTTACCTCCAATTTGAAATCCAAAACCTAGTGCCTTCTCAAGAACTGTAATATGTAACACCTTTAAGAAGGCACTGTGGAAGGCACAAAAGCTTCTTTTAACGAAAAGATTAGGCCGGGATGTATATCAAAGGACTGAGAACTTGGCACTAGCAACAGCTACCATTATGCAGAGCCTTACTCTACACAAAATCATTTATAAAATGCCTTTCGTCTTCAAAAAAAATCTAATTCTGCCTACTCTGGAAACAACTTCTGCAGTGCTGTGGTCATATCCACACACCACGGGGATGAGAACATCCCCACTCTCTGAGGGCCATGCCTGAGTTTGCTGTCTCTGGTTCTCTCTCCACCACAGTGGCCACAGAAGTGGGCTGGACCACTAAAGGCTGAGCCACATACAGAACTGATACAGCCTCACAGATTACATAGGTGCTTAAAGTTCTATGCCCACTGATTTTCAAGGAAAACACAGTTTATGTGGATTAACTATGAAATATCCTTTTCCAGATTCCTATCTAAAATACAGTTGGCTTCCACTGTTTTGGAGTGCTTCTGAAAACAGCATTTCTGAGCACTACCAAATGCGGG